TAGTGAAGATGTTCTTTTGTGTGCAATATTTCTAACCTTTTAAATTGTGCAGCCATTATACTGGCCATTATATGTAAAGTTTATAGATGTATGTGGCCAGTTAAGCCAGCCAGCCACAAGCTTAGTTGTCCCTTACTAGAACTTGGTCTAGCTGAATTGTACAGTAAAGGTTATGCAAATGTGTTTTTATGAATTACCACCAACTGTGTAGTCATCTCAGTTTACATTTACATCCTTGTAGAACCTGACAAAACAGAGTGATAAGTCAAAAATATCTTATAAAATATTTGAATATCTTGACTGTTATTTTTATGAATTTCATAAAAATGTAACTGCTTATTTGTCACTGAATAAAAGAGATTTTGTTCCCAGAAGGACAAGGAATTAGGTATATGGGAAGTCTATAGAGTGGTTTTAGCAGTTTTACAAAGCTGACATTTGATTACTTAAGTGTGTGTTCTTATACTATATGCTGCATATGTGGATGTGGTGTTTTTTGTGTTGCTTTCATAAAGGGAAGTTGCATTTTTATTGATAGTATAGCAGAGCCTCCTTCATATGTTTTAACCACAAATAATATAAATAACAGTTGCACATAAATGTAAGTGAAGTACAGTGAATTTGTACTATTAGTTTTGGCACTTGTTGGTATATATAACAATGATTAACAACTTATTAAAATTATTACAACTTAATGATGATTGTTGGCTGTGGTGCTCCAGGAGTCCCTTAACGTTAGTGTTCAAAAAGGCACAATATGGATGGTTGCATGATGATTTCTGATGGAATGTGTATTCTATATTTATTTGAATTATGCTGAAAGACAGTAGAAAATATTTTTAAATAGTAAATTGACAATTATTATTGGAAAAAATACTACAGCTAAGATAAATTTAAAGAAACTCATTTGTGAGAATCATATTATGTACACATTCAAACTTTGATGTCATATATTGTCTTAAAATTACTAAGAAAATCTGATTGAAATTTGGAAGAGACTTGTAATTTTAAATGTTGCAAAGTAATTTTAATTACTTGGTCAGAATATTTTAGAAAAGAGTTCTCTTTTTAAATAAAACATTTTACTTGCAAAATTTTAACTACTCTAGTAATGATAATGAGTTGTCTGCTTTTTACAGAACATACTGCACTTATTTTATGTCTTTGTGTAACACTTTTTTACTTATTTCAGTATTATGTTCACTGCACAGATTTCACTAATCTTATGTCAGGCTCTGATGCACAGTATTCTTGAAATTATGAAAATGAACTTCTTGTATCTTATAATGCTTAACATTTTCTGTCAAACATTTGCACGTATTCTTGATTCACTCACATATGATATCCAATATATAATTGTGAAAAGAATGAAGCAAATGGGGAAGAGTACCAAGGAAACCTGATCCACCATTCCTCGTTGTGAACCACAATAAAGAACCACAAATTCAGCTACCATCCGGAACTTCCGCCTGGCTGGTGGTTCTGGGCCTTCACCCCCAGCAGGATGTCGATCCTATAGTGATCATAAACAATGTATTATGTTTTCCAGACACAAATATGTAACTGTATTATAATTTTTTCATTTTCTGTCATATTAATCGAATATGATCTGTTTTTTCTTTCACAGTCCTTAATGAACTTCAAAGAATCTTCAGCATTTTGAAGGCTTTCTGGTCTTAATGAGAATTTATTGACTAGCTGTGTCACAATCAGCTACTTAAGAAGGACTCTTCTTCATGTAATTAGTGATGTATAATGTTTTTCTGAGTTTTAGCATCATGCCATGAATGACTGTGTGGAATGCAAAGGTAAAGTTTCACACATTGGCTATTGATACAACACACCAATGATAAAAGATGGATTATTATTATTGTTGTTGTCAGTAATGCTGTTTGTGGTGTACTGGTTAATACTTGGCTTTGTATTAAGAAGGTCTGCAGTTTGAATGTTAACTGCTAAACAGCTGTAAAAAGAGAATTTTTTTTAATTTTCAGGAAAATGCAGGGAGAGTAGCCTTAAAGTAGGTTGTAACTGCCTCTTTTCATACAGTTACTAACTCAGTTTATGATCATCTTGTCATTTCTATTTCAGTTGCCATAATGCCATTAAATAAAACAACAAAACTTCATTGTTTTGTAAATACATGCTATAGGATTAATAACAACAATAACCAATAAACTAAGTCCTTGAAAAGTTAACAGTTGTTTAAGTAATCAAAAATTTGCCTGCCCTGTATGGAACCCAGAGGTGCATACCATGTTCTTTTGTCTCTATCTGGAGCCACATGAATCCAGTCCACACCTTCCCATCTTGTTCAAACATCCATTTTAATACTATCATCCCATCTATGCCTTGAACTTTACAGTGATTTCTTCCTTTCCTATCAACATTTTGTATGCTCTCCCCATGTGTTGTATGGTGTGCTCATGTCATCCTCAAATTGTAATAATATTTAAAGAGTAAAAGTAGTGGAGCTCCCCATTATGCAATTTTCTCCAGTTTTACAACAGTGTTATTACATGTAACAAATTACATGTTTACCAGTCTAAAATAGAGGAACTCTTCGTCTGAATTTGTATTTTTATCCTACTTTCTTTAAGAAAAGATACATATACTTATATGTCTGTGTTTGCCCCCTATTTATTCCATTTCAGCTGCTCATCTAACATGTCTGCTCAATTGTTCCATTGTTTGTCACATCATAGCTGGAAGACATGAATGTCTGTTGGTAGTGTCATTAAATGTTAGATGGATTTTGGAGAAATGCTATTTGTGACAAGTGTCATAAAAACCTATATTATACAGTCTGTAGTTTATGTAATATAATACATTACATTTCTTTGAATATCATATACAATTAGAAGTATGAAATGTTCAATGACAAACACAGTTTTTCAGTAAGTCCAACCAGACACATGGTTGGAAGAAGCTTATGATTAATCAGTTTGTGTATGTACAGTTTTATATATACTGATAAAGATTGGAGCTTTATGTAAATCTAGAAAAATACCATTGTCTCTACAACTTACCCTAATTATTGTTGATCGAGGTGAGGCCATCTCTTTAGTATGGTGATCTTGCATCTCCTCCTGGGGCATAATTTTACTGCTGCCACCAAATAACTTCAAGTTATCCACTCGGTTATTAGTGGCTCGATGATGCAACAATGGAGGTAATTGTGGGGGACAATGGTGATTGTTAGCATTAGTGTTGTTACTAGATGCAGCAGCAGCTGCAGCTGCTGCTACTGCTGCTAGTGCTGGCTGAGAATTTTCATTGGGACGTTCCCAGGTTGTTGCATTTATCCTCTCTAAGTCTTGTTTCTTGTGGCGCCAGAATTTATCATAACGGATTCCGAACAACACCACAAAGTATTCCAGCAATGCGAAGAACACAAACAGTGTGCAGGATATGAGCCATACTTCAATGCATTTTAGTTCCAATGCATTTGGTGAGTTATTTCTGTGAACAAAATGTTCATAGTTAGCTCCAAATGTCATGATTCCTGAAGCAAAGGTTTTCCTTCCCTGTCCTAATTGTAGGTATGCTAATCTTTTGAATGGCAATTACAACTGTTTTGATCATTCTTGGATTTGCATTTAAACTGTACTGTGGTTTTATTGCAGTTGGTTAATAATACATTAACAGCAGCCTTAACTTAAGTAGTGTAATTTTATTGTCAGCAAACCCGTAGTAAGTTCTGCACCTGGTGTTAAGGTGAACAAATTTTCCTGTTACCCTAACTGTCTATAACAACATATCCTACAGAATAAAATTATAACAAAGAGTTATAAGAATCAGATGTTTCTTGTTTACATCAAGTACCTCAATATTTATTTCCTTTGTACCTGCAAACTCTGTAACGTCATATTTCATCTGATTCAGTGGAGATGATTATTAGTTAGATTTGCATGTATGCCTGCGTATTAAAGAAGTGTTTGCTAAAACTGTTCTTCCAAGACAGTTTTGTTGTAATAAGATTGACCATTGAGCCATTTTATTGTGCTGTTGTTCAGTTGCATCCTATTTATTGTGGTGGGAAAATTATGGTGAGGTTATGTACATTTAATGTGACAGAGCATACCATATGCATGAATCTACTCTAGCCTGGATAACCAAATTTCAGTTAAAATTAATATTAGTGTTTATTAAAAATTGTCAAAACATTTTAATTTTGATAATTGATCTTGTTGACCACTTTACATACAGGCACAAACGCTTTTTGAGGTTATCTCAAATAGAGGCAAGAAGAGTTGCATAAACTGATATACTTGCATAAAAATTAAGAGTAAGTTACATAACTTGTTTTTAGCTTAGTTCAGTAAACATTCACTACAATATTAATTAATTGAAATTGATCATTGTGGTCAAAGATTATGTCATGCCAATCAGTTTATTTGGCAACAATTTACTTTCTCCACAATGCCTGTTTACCAGTGCCTTACTACAGTGTGTTGAAAAATATTCATTTAATAGATATTTCCTTTTGTTTCACTTCATTAAGTATAAAAATAATGTGCATTCCTCAGTAAAGAATATTCATTTTTTAAGTTTACATAACATGATTCAATGGGTAGGCCTGTTTTTATATAGGGAACCTAGTGACTGTGACTTTAGCAATTCCTGTAAATCCGTTTCTTTCATGAATTGTGTCATATCTTTCCTAACACTTGTGTTGCTCATTGCAAGGTGTAATGGCATATTCACCTTACTGTGTCAAACATGGTGACAAGGGAGAGAAGTGTGGTAACTAGGAGTACCATTCTGCCAGGCACCATGTCAGGAATCACCACAAAACTTCCCCAAGACATAATGACAAACAATGAACTTGGCAAGTAGCTCTCCAGCAAGTAACTCCGGAGCTCTCTTCTCATTATAATGTTCATTCTAGCAGTTGAATGATTGCCTATGAGAAATAAATTCAGAAGTGTTATTTATGCTGTGCACAAAACTCATATTCATTCATCTTTCCAGGACCTAGTAGTGGCACTTTCAGTGAATGGATTTTGAATAATTCTTTGTCAAAAACTGAGCAGAGTAATTTTAGTTTACGTCACTACATACTTCCTGAAACGAAAGTTTCAGTTAAAAATTATGAAACATAATGAGGCAAATATTTTATGTTGCATCCCTTATTTTTGTGAACAGTTTCAAGAAATTTGCCTTTGTACAAAAGTTATTAAAATGAAATTAGGTATATTTTTATAGAAAATGCCAAAATTTATGCAGCTCCTGTGGTGTGCTGTTTTCTTAAAGCCCACTTGAACACTGAGTACATTTGGTGCCCAAACTGCACAAAAAAGCTCTGACATGCTGAGTCTACTGGGTTTGGTTAGTCACCAAGTTTTCTTCTTCTGAATTTACAGACGCTTAGCCTGGAAAATGCTGGAATTCAGTTACTCTTAAACCATCACAATGATCAGAATGGCTTCAGTTGATTGAAAAATTGGGTTAATTTTAGCAACACTCAGTTTTGAAAACACAAAAAAAAAATTGCCCAAGCTAGATTAGGAAAGTATGATGAATGTTCTGATGCATTTGGTTTTGAACCAAAATCTTTTGCAAAGAAAGAGCTCTGTGGAAAGGTAATTTCATTCTGTAGTAAACTCCACTCACGTGGTCGAACATCCAACGCTTATTACTGAAGGTCAAATGGTTGATTGTTTGCTGTGGAGGAACAAACTTATAAACAGCAGTTCCTATGATACTAAGAAAGAAGATTGGGATTCTTCTTCTTTCTTCTTTGTCATCATCATCATCATCATCATCATCATTATTGAAGACTGTAGAATTTTGTTTCAGGGTTGTAATGAATGACTCAGGACTCAGGTCTTATGCCGCGTTCCAGTGTTTTTGGCCGCTGAACTTTGTGAATTGGAACCTCGGAGCAAGTCACTTACCAGAAGTTTGCTGGAGTGGCCATCAGCTGGGTGCCAGAACAGTAGCAGGGGTTTGTACAGTATGGTCAGTGATGGATATACAGGCAAAAAGATGCAGCCATAACCCATAATTTTCTCAAAATAAACAGGTGTTTATTCAAATTATGTACAAGTCAGAGCATGTATATTTTAAGGATGTCTGTAACTTTTATAGAAGATTTCTTCAGTCAGACTGATGCTTAGTGAGAACGCCCAAAAGCAAAGTAGAACTTCATATGAAGTAAATGAAACTCGCATATGATACTTTACCGAAATCTGCCAGAAAGATCAAAATTATATGTAGAAGTTCATTTTGCCTCTTGAGTGAAGCAATGTTTAAAAATTAACGAAGTGAATGAATTGCATATATAGTGAAAGTTATGTGGTAGAAGTACTGTTGGCCTATATCGAGTCATCAAAATATGTGGAGTAAATTGAAAGAACATAAATACGTATGTAAGAAGTTAATGTTTGCTGTTAAAACATGACAAAGCATATTACAACAAAATGAAAATGGCTTGGCAGAATTTAATGTAGGTGTTACACTGATTTTTGTTTAGATCGTCACGTATCTTAGGTCCTGGACAGACTTGCCACTATAGGTGGTTCTCAACATCTTTTGAAACACTCCAGAAGTAGTAACTGATCACTAAAATAGTATTGAAACACAAGAGATCTTCAAAGATGTGGTAATATTATTTCAGTACGTATGCACATACCCTCGCCGTAATGTATAATCTGGTTCTTGTCTTCCGTGGTAAAGGATACGACATACTTCGGTAGTCGATAACCATCTCCAAAGTCACTTGGCAAACTGAGTGGTGGCGAGTGCCAGCTGAAATTCATGTCCGTCATGGTGTATTTATCTGAAAAAAACAAAAATATTTCTACGTGAGATTTTCACGGTGGCAAAACCCACATGTACATCACCATCCTCACCGCTTCGTAAACAAGAAGTCTTACACAGTAAACCCCTATGGGGAAGAACAGAATAGGGTCCAGTTGCGGGCGGTAATGAACCTTCCGGTTCCATAGTAGGAAGTTTCTTACCCGGTTGAGCAATTATCTCTTCCCGGATTTATGTTAATGGTGTATTTAACGGTGTGCTCAGTGGTTCAGACGATAGGCTTGTAGTAGAATCGAATGATTGGATAATCAATTAACAGGAAGGAATATGAAAGGAAGCCGTTGAACTCAATGTTAATGCTTCATCTTGGTATTTGCCTGGATGGTGAGAAGAACCATTAAAGCCTCAGTCAGTATATTCGATCTCTCGACCGACATTTGAATCCGGGATCTTCCGAATAAAATGCAGGGGTGCTAGACACTAGGCCGTGATATATGTAATCTCAACGAGTACTCTGTTCTGTCTGTGGAGTAACACAATTAGTATAGTTACTAATTTATTATTTTTACTGTGTAGTGTATGAGGAAGGAAGCATTTGAGTTTCTGTTTTCCAAAACAACTTTTTAATAATATATCATTTTGATATCACTGCTTGTGTATTCATTTTAAGTTGGTTCACATCCCACAGAATTGTTTTTAAGATACTTAATTGTTATACCGCGTGGGTAACTATCCTTTAAAACAGTGGTATTCAACCTGGGGTACGCGAAGACATAGTAGGGGGTACGTGAAATTTAAAAAAAATATATTATTTTATGATAAACACTGAATAATCAGGGCTAGATTTAGGGTTAGCCACATGAGAACCGGACGTAAGAATATTCGATTTGTGAGATTATATACTATGTATAACTTGAATTATACACCAACGACTTTGGGGGTACGAAGTTGAAGAGAAATTATATCTGGGGGTACGCGAACAAAAAAGGTTGAATACCACAGCTTTAAAATACCTAGAAAGCTAAAGCGTTTTAGTGACTGTTGTGCCTAGACACTCACAGATAGGTCCGCACAAGTTTATCGCATATTTTTGTTCTAATTATAAACTAGTATGTGTACGATGAAACGCTGTTTTACTCAGAGAGCTGTACGATGGAATTGGTAAGAACAAGACAGATGCGTACTTAGATACATATACTATTATATAATATGCTTTAAGTCTATAAATAACTCAAGCATTTCCATTTTGCTTCAGTGTATAGCTGATGCAGATTATCTGATCAGTACTTGAAGTTTTACGTCGGAGTTCACACTGACAAGCATCAGTAAATTTCGTGTATGTAAGGAGATAACTTTAAAAGAAATATGTTCGATAAAATGTTCTCTGAAAATTAAAAGAGTGGTATTACTGAAAAATTACGAAAGTCATTTTTATTAACCGTTTTGTAAAATATATTATATCACTGTTGGCTATTCATGCTTCCTTATTCCAAACCAAACGAATGTTTGTGGTTCTCAAAACCCAACCCTTTGCCTCCTGCTTTAACACGTTATGCCAGAATTTGACTAGTACCTGTTATTATAATTTCTGTATTTTCAACTTTTCAGTCTCCAAAAGAAAATTGTAGGTTGTACTGACTCAGGTATAGACTACGCATTTCACTCTGGTTAACATCATTATCTTCATGTACATCTAATAGGTAACTTAAGTAACGTTTACTCTCACTGAAAACAAAGCGGTTATCAATTGCTTTAAACTTTCTTGAACTTCGTCATCATTTAACGAATTTTAGTAAAACGGAGGACTTTTGAGTACTTACGCTCATTGCACGTTAGACTACTAAGACCTCACAGGTCTTATTTAACCCTTTGAATCCCAGTGGTAACAAAATGTACCATCTGCTCTAACAATAAGTTGTTGTGTTTTGAATTTATAGGTTTTGTATGATTCTAAAAATGAACAGTGATAATTTTTTTTAAACAGCGTTAACTAGTTGATCTTAGTAATGGTGAATTGTGGCGTTATTTACGGTACGGACTGAACTCTTAAATCTAATTTAGATGAGCTTTGGCCACAGAGGGTTAACATTCGTCTTTGTAATTCTGGACCATATGCATATTTTATAATGATCTGATATCCATTGCTTCTAGTATTAACTAGAAAGATGAATGTCTGTTTATCCAGCGTGTGTGTTTGGTATGGTAATGAAGTGTACTTACAACTACTAAAATCCACAGCACACTTCTGTACATCCAAGGGGTAAAGGACGAAATCCATATCACACTTGATGATTACAGAGGCACTGAAACAAAGGAAGAGTTTTCTTTACGTTAATTTTCTCAGTCTCAACACGAATCGTACTGATTATTTCCGACTGGCATTAAGCTCGGTGTTTAATCTTACATCCATTTTGATTCAGTTTACTAAAGAAATGTGGGATTTGTAGTCGACAATTCAGTGGAGCCGAATTTTTGTCGAGTGCGTCGGTTTCCTCATTCCGAAGTTACTCACTCGACACTCAATACAATCGCCTGTTCCGTGTGACCAGTTCCGCCTTTTGGCACTTTATCACGGATATGATGTCATAATTCACCGTGTTTAATTACGTCATTGAAACTGACAATCATTATTCTGGACCAGGGGTCGGAAAATTACGGCCCGCGGGCCAAATCCGGCCAGCCGCCTCTTTTTGTATGGCCCGCGAGCTAAGAACGGATTCTACATATTTAAATTCTTTGAAATTTCAAAGTACGCGCCATAACGAAACGGCCGAGTTGAGTAGTTGAGAGAAAGAATTATATAAATGTCTTCCAAGCGATGAATACGGTCAATTAAGATCATATGCTCGGGGATTTATGTCTGTATTTGGCAGCACCTGCCTGTGTGAAAAGACATTTTCAAAGATGAAATATGTGAAATCTCAATACAGGTCAGCATTAACGGATGAACAT